AAAAAAAAAAAAAAAAAAATGCTGGGCATGGTGGTGTACCCCTGTATTGCCAGCACTCGGGAGGCTGAGGCAGAAGGATCACCATGTGTTCAAGGCTACCCTGGGCTACACAGGCATTCAAGGCCAATGTGAACTATATAGCAAGATCCTGTCTAAAAAAAATCCAAAAACTTTTAAAGAAGCTAGGAAAATAAAAACATAATAAAAATATTCTTTGCCTAAAATATCTCAAACATGGGCCGGGGATTTAGCTCAGTGGTTTTGCCGCTTGCCCTGCAAGCACAAGAACCTGAGTTCGATCCCCAATACCAAAAAATAAAAAAACAAAATATCTCAAACATGAAACATGGACCAATTTCCTTAATGTAACAAGCAGCACTATAATTCATACCCCCAAAAGACAATCCTGATAGAAAAATGGTCAGAGTACATGAAAATACAATTCATAGAAAAACAAAACTGAGAAGATGCTCAATTCCACACCAAATGAAAATCAAAACAACTATGAGATAGCATCATCCCCTGCTGAGTATAAGTTATAGGCAAATGAAACTGACAAGCGTCTCAAAAAACAGACTCAGATACTGCTAAAGGAAGGCTGGGTCTCATCTCTTCAGAGGAAACATGGCATTATTAGGAGGCACCTAACTTTTCAATTCTACTTCTAGGGACACAGCCTTTAAAAACATGAGACAGGCCTGAGGATGTAGCTCAGTGGTAAAGCAGTTGCCGAGCAAGCACAAGGTTCTGGATTCGATTCTAAATGCAGCAAAGAAATAAGAAACAAGCACACATGGGCAGGTATACTTTCAAACCATCCTGATGGCACTGTGTGTTACAGAAAACAGAATCACTGTGGTCACACAGCAGCCATCACAGGGCGCCAATCCAGAAGCTACGGTTCTGTGTCCTAGACAGATGAGGAAGTCTGTGCGTCCATGTGACAGATTACCGCTCCCCTAGCATTTGGGGGTGTTGGTTCCAGGACCCCTCTGCAGATAACAAAATCCAAGGATGTTCAAGTTCCTTCTGCAGAACGGCAGAGCACAGAACCGATGCACCTCCTCCTGCATACTTCAAGTCATCCACAGATTACTCACAATAGCTAGTGCAATATAAATTCTATACAAATAATTGCGTAGTTCCCAGAAAAAGCAGATGAAAACAAAACACAACACTACATTGTTTAGGACTAACAATGTACTGTACATGTTTAGTATGAATGAAATTTTAAAAATATATATTCTGGGCCAAGAGCTGTAGCTCAGTGGTAGAGCACTTGCCTAGCACATGTGAGGCCCTGGGTTCAAGCATCAGCAAAGAAACGAAATAAAACAAAACAAAAAAGTCGGGCAAGGCTTTTTAATTCTGGGGATTAAACCCAGGGCCTTCACACTGGCCTATATCCCCAGCCCAATTTACTTCTTATTTTGAGACAGAATCTTGCTAAACTGCCCAGGCTGCCTCTTCTTCCCAAGTGCTGAGATTACGGGCATGCACATCACGCCCAGCTCTGGTTTGTTTTGCTTTGTTCTTTGGGGGTGGGGGTGCAACCCAACACCTTGCCCACGATAGGTAGGCACTGTACCTCTGTGCCATATCCTGCCCCCAGGCAGTTTGGTTTTTAAACTAGGTGCACATATTAATCTCTTAATGTGATAAAGGCCTGTCTTATAAATAAAACTAATTCAGTGCACTTATAGTCTCCTAATGTTTATTTTTTGATGCTGAATAAAAGCTTCCTTTAAAAAGATTTTAAAACGAGGTATGCAATTATCATGCAGAATTAAATTTGAAAAAGTTATGAGTAATATTAAAGTTACTGTCCTAACAGACTGTCTCAGTCAATTTATGTTATGAAATAAGAGGAACTCGAAGCAGAAAGAACATTTAATTTTAGACTGAACTCAATACCAGGCTTTGGGGCCCTGAACAAAACTGTTACCCCTAAACCTCAGAGTCTTCATATATAAAATGAAGGTATTTAGTGCAGGGTTGATGGCTCTGAAGTAGCACCAAAAATGTAAGATATTAAAAGCACTCAGCTAAAATTCGTTGTTAGAGTTATATAAATACTATCATCATTAGTATGATGATACTGGGATACTCACTTTTTAGAAAATATGAGTATGAAATTTAGAATAGACAGTACTTTTTGTTTTGTTTTGTTTGGGTACTGGGGTTTGAAATCGGGACCTTGTGATTCCAAGGCAGGTGACGGAACCACTGAGTTAAATCCCAGGCCTCGGCAGTACTCCCTTAAGAATCATGGGTGACACACTGGAATTACAGATCTTTCAAAGATATAATTTCCTAAGACTTCAGTAGATACCCTTTCATCCTGCTTTTCCCAAGCCAAGCCCCCAACTGCCCCAAGATTATACTATGAATAATTCAAGTTACCTTTTCAAAGCTGAAAAAGTTAGTTGCATTTCTAAATGTGTTGAAGGCTGAAGATCCCTTCTCCTTACAGAGTGCTGCTGGATACTAGATAAAGAAAGGATGTCGTAGTCTGAGAGCAAAGAATCCAGCCTCTCTGAAATAAAGGTAAAAAGGTTATTAGCAACCACCCCTAAGAATCAGTTGTAATATCACCAACATGAGTGGACCAGGCGGTCAATGCTCCCTGACATAATGCATTACGAAATGCCCAGATGCCCAGCCTGACCCCTGAAATGGTATTAAAACATGAACCTGAATCTAAGGAAGATCTCAGTTCCAGTTCTCAGGTGGCAAAGAGAGCAGATGCTGCCAAGTTAAACAACTTGGAAAACAATCAGCCACACCTAGAATGTCAGAATTCCTGTAGAGCAGATGACCCAATTTCTTCAGGAAGTAAACGGCAGGGGAAAGAAGGGAGGGGCAGAGAGAGGAGATTCAGAATTTAGCAAGATCACAAAGTGTGAATCATTATGGCTCCTAGGTGAAGCAGCAGCTGCAGGACGAAACATGAGCCAATCAGGGAAATGTGAACGGACTTGGGGTTAGACACGAAGCATGCTGATAGCAGAGTACCCACAGTATACGATGAGGCAACTTCCAGCTAAAAGGCCATCTGCTTGCTTGTCTAGAATTCTGAAAACAAACTGGCTGACTGGACCTTTCTTGACCAACCTGGAGTCCATGGGTTCCTTACAGCACAGGTAGTAAGAAAGCACAGCAAGTGGATGAATGGCCTGGGAGACCAAATCTGGGAAAGCACACCTTTTTCACAAAAATCACATATTCCAAAAGTATCCGCATCGTCACCGCTGCCTAACAGACATGCAAGGTATCATTCTACTGAAACCAGGAAGTACACATGGTAGGACCAAACTGATCCCTAGAAAAAATCAACATGAAGCATCTCAAGAGTAGTCAACCAGGAAAAACAAAGACTCACAGTCCCGAAGGCCACAAAACATACAAGTAAGGATTTTTCTCCTACTGGGATTGAACCCAGGGCCTCACCTATTTAGGTAAGTGCTCCACCACTGAGCTACATCCCTAGGGTCAGGGATGTAGCTCAGAGGCACTGCGCCTGCCTTGCAAGCAAAAGGTCCTAAGTTCTATCCCCTGTACCTAAATAAATGAATAAATAAAATTTACTTTTAGACTATTTCTAAGTTGGCCTCAAACTCGCAATCCTCCTGCCTCAGCCTCCTAAGAAGCTAGAAGTTCAGGTGAATGCTACAACACCCCACAAAGTAAGTTCTTACTCGGTTCAGAGCAAAAGCAACTACAATGACATATACACTACACAGTATTTATAAATCTCTTTTCATCAACAGAAACTCTGCTGCTGCCTCCAAAATCAGGATTCTTATAAAACATCTGTGGTTTCAATCTCTTTACAAATGTCTAAAAGTATTTGAGCTGATGCTCTTCTTTCTCAACAAATACAGTAGAAGTAGTGGTACTCAAAATAATTCCAATGTCCTCAAAATATAGAAGCAGGGGCTTAAAATACATATTCACTGCTTCTGACATAAAATACACTAAATAAAAGTTTTAAAACACAGAATCATCCAGCCAGGGATTTAGCTCAGGGGTTCCGCCACCTGCCTCAAAAGAGCAAGGTCCTGAGTTCCATCCCCGGTACCAAAAAAAAAAAAAAAAAAAATGAAAAAAAAAAAAAAAAAAAAAAAAAAGAATGCAAAACACAGAATCATCCAGTAAGCATTACATTGTTTGTGAATAAAAAATTAAAAAGAATTTTCAAAAACAGAGATAAACCCAATGGTTTTTTCCTTGCCCTTCCCTTACATGTTCTTGATCAGTTCATTCATTCATCCCAGATATGTAAGCTGGGCACCCAGTCCAAGCACTGAATGAACACTTGAGAGCGGAACAAAGTACAGGCCTGACAGAGCACCCATCTCCGTGTGGGAGACACAGTAAGACACACAGACAGAACGGATAGCTGCTGCAGAGCGGCCCACGATGGAAGGACTGGGGATAGCTCAGTGCTCTGCTCCTGCCTCACAAGCGAAAGGTCCTGAGTTCGATCCCCAGTGCAGCAAAAGAAAAAAAAGATGGAAAGGTGGGCGTGGTGGTGCAAGCCTGTAACCCCAGCACTCAGGAGGATGAGGCAGGAGGATCACTGTGAGTTTGAGACCAGCCTGGGCTACACAGTGAGTTCCAGGTCAGTCTCAGTCTCAACTACATAGAGAGACCCTGTCTCAAAAAAAAAAAGATGGAGCACTGCCTTGCTGTTATGAGCAAACCAGAGAAAGCAAGAGGCAGGCATGCTGTTGCCTTAGGAAATAAGCTTAATTTATGTCCATTTACAGTTCTACATCAAACAAGAATAAAGTGGCAGCAAATTTTGCACTTGCCAAATACAGCCTATTTTCTGTTCACAAAATTTTCTCTGAAATGCTCAAGCTTTACTGATGTGGTAACTGTGAAACTCCTTTAAAATAGTCTCAGTTGGGCATGACACCTGTAATCTTAGTGTGCAGGAGGCTGAGGCAGGAAGACAGTTGGAATTCAAGCCCAGTATGGACTACATAGGGAGACCCTCTCTCAAAAATAAATAAATTAGCTGATTTATAGTCCATCACTGCTGTGACATTCTACTTGGTCTCCTGATTTCTGATACATCAACCAAACGTGGCCTCAGAATCCCAATGATCTTTGTTTTCTACTTTTCCTTCAGCACTTTCTGGTTATGACACTGTCTTGTCTCACAGACTATGAAAAGGAGATTTTGCTTGTTATCTGTACCTCCCAACACTCAGCCGGACCCAGACCCTCGCACCTGCCAGCACCCACATTTGCATGCAGCAAATCCTCAAAGCCCAGACAGCCCTTGAGCTTCTTGCTGCCCTTGTAGGATTGCTACATGAACTCGGTTTTTATCCAAGATCGTAATTGCTCCTCCTGCCTTGGAAACTCAGCCCGATGCTGCGGTTTCACAGCCAATGACATGGGCTGGTTCTCAGAGTGTGGACCCCACACAGCAGCCCCAGCCTGGCCTGGGAGTCCCGAGACCAACCATTCAAGCCTCCCGGGCAGTGCACATGCGCACCCAGTGTGAGAGCCATGCACAAGGCGGGAAACAGTGGCACCGTCTGCTGTTGCTGCTGTTCCACAAGCTGAGGTGGGAGGACTCTGGGAGTGTGAGGCCGGCCTGGGCAACACAGCAAGACCCTATCTCATTCAAAGAGGGAAGGCAGCCACGGACCACACCGAAGAGAAAACAGCTCAAAGTGAAGGCAAAAACCTTTATGCACACATGTATTCGTGTATCATTTTTAAGAAAGCCCAGAAACAAGTAAACTACCATTGAGAACTAGCTGATGAGTTACTGAACCTTCAAATGACAGGGAATAAAACTGGCAACTATTTAAATGCTGTAAACAGAGCTTTTAAGAACATAGGAAGCCAGCCAAGGTCATGCACACCTGTCATCCCAGCACTCTGAGAGGCCGAGGCCCGAGGATCACAGGTTCAAATGCATAATAAGAAAAATTTAAAGGGCTAGGGACGTAGCTCAGTGTGAAAGCCCTAAGTTCAATCCCTGGTACCACCCTCCCAAAAGAGGGAAAATATTTATGCTAAAATGTTAACTAAACAAAGAAGACTTAGAAAAACTATTCACATGGCACGATAAGATCATAGTTAAGACTACGTGCAAAAATAGGTCTGGAAAAAAATACGGGCAAATGGTAATGTCCTTGGCTATTCTGGGTGTGTTTTCTATAATAAGCACTTTTTAAAGGTAGCTCGCTAACACACTTTAAAATACTTTAATATGTTTCCACTGCAATTTACTCTCCTTTAATAACTACATATACCAAATTGGATGTCCTGCAGCCATCACAAGCACCCTTGTGAAATTGGCTCTCTCTGGAGCCGTGCTGCCTGCGGCACTGCTCTCCCGGAGCCACGGCCCCTCTCAGACACTCAGTCTTCCAGCAACTTCCCGGCCCCTCTCAGACACTCAGTCTTCCAGCAACTTCCCGAATCTAGCCCCTAGAATCACCGTCTCCGGCAGCCTTCAGGCCGGAATTCTCTCTCCCCAACTTATGGCAAGTTTCTCTTATCCACACCCAAATCCCTCTCACATACACAGGCCTGGCATGTGTGAGGCCTCCTCCCGACAAGCAGGAAGAAACCACCAAGCTGCTTACAGAGTTCAGCACAGCCAGTACAGACAGGGCCCTCAAGTGCTCTTTCCAGGACTGTGACACCAGGAGAAGAGACCACTGCACCGAACATAGTATACAGAGTATCATCATCTGCCAACAGGGACAGGGGCAGCGGCAGGGAGTCCTGGACCAACTCATCAGGGTCGGGCCAAGGGTGCTGTCCCCAGGAAGCAGCATTAACATCAAAAGGATGAGGGGCTGGGGATTTAGCTCAGTGGTTCTGGTGCCTGTCTCACAAGCACAAGGACCTGAGTTTGATCCCCAGTAACCCCCCCATCAAAAAACATCAAAAGGATGAGCTGGGGCTGAGGGCGGGAAAGAAGGGACAAGTTCTATGTAGACATCCAAAAGAAACAAAGAATAGGATACTCAAAAGTGAAAGCAAGGCAGTGGGGCTATCACGCAGAACAGCAGTGAGAGCCAGTGTGATGCTGCACGCCTGTAATCCTAACACTCTGTGAGGCTGAGGCAGGAGGATTCCAAGTGTGAGCACACCCTGGGAAACAGTGACTCAGCACTTGTCTCAAAATTACAAATAAAATGAGCTG